TAGGTAGGTAGGTAGGTAGGTAGGTAGGTAGGTAGGTAGGTATGTGCATAATTACCACTTAACTTGTCAAGTTAATTCATCATCTTAAGGTTAAGTGATCTTGAGAAAACTGAGAGGATTCGGCTCATTCTTAAGGAGTAGCATTAACTCTTAAAGGTGAGTGTCATGTGACTAAACCGCAGACATCTGCTTCGTACAGGATTGTTTGTCTGAGACTTTTTTTATATAACTGGAGCGGCGACCTGCAGTAACGGGACACCTGGCGCATTTCAGGTCGTCTCCGGACCGGTTTCCCGGACAAAGACGCCACCTGTCTCACAGAGAGGATGAAAACTGAGAGGAAAAGTCACCCCCCCACTCGCCCCCCCGTAAACACACACACATTCTTCAGATCAGTGCAACCTGCTTTTTCAGAGTTTACTCATCTACCACCATCTCACCTAAGAAAACTCTAATGGAGATCGCATTGTTCTGAATTACAGCTCGCTTTGATCCAATCTGCTTTTATCCATTTTTTTCGGCTCATCTCTGTGGATTTAACATGGTCATTACGACCGGCACAGAGCTGCATTTGTTCATCCCCACGCTGCTTTATCACCCCCCCCCCCCCCCCTCCTGTGCACAGTCAAAGCTCCCTCTGTGCGGACTCTGCTGGGTTTGAATTACCTCTGTGCTCCTCTCCCACCCGTCCCTCCCCGTTTGTTCATCTTTTCTGTGTTCTCTCTGCTCAGGAGGGATTCAAACTCGGACACTAACGTGACAAGAGGGGATTTTCTGGCTTTTCCCAGTCCGTTTATTAGTCGCCACCTGCCGGAGCATTGATGCGGAACGGGAGAGAGTTCGTGAAACAGGAAAGTGGGACGAGTTTCTGTCTGTTTTGAATCAGGTGGATTCTGAACTATGTCGTTTTTCTCCACTAATACGAGCGAATTGTCTCTCTGTCTCTGTCCTATTTTTCAAGTCGTCTTCCTTTATGTCTCTACTCTTGTCCGCCCCTTTCTTGTGGACTCTAAAGTCCAGATTCTTCCTCTCCACGTCGAGCCTAGACAGCACGCAATCCGTCCTTCCTGTCAGGTAATTAGTGCTTTTCTGGAGACTGCCAAGCTGGCCCGGTATTTCGCAGCATCCTCAGCTCCAACACCTCCCTCCCCCTCTCTTTCCTCCTCCTCCTCCTCCTCTTCCTCCTCCTCCCGGTTCAGTCCAGACCTGCCACCTCAACAATTAGGCGCCCCAGACGCTCTGTCTCCGCCACGCTGGAGCTAACGCCAACTCGCCACATCCAGAGACGGAAAATAAAACCCTGACAGGTGGGAGAATCAGGGCAAACAAAAAACTAAAGAAAAAAAACCTTTAGAACAAAAATAAAAGGAGGGCGACATCTGCTTTTTGTGGACATTTTTCCTCAGGAATCGTGAAAGTGAGCGTGAAGTTAGGATGAGACCGTGGAGAGCATATTAAAAAAACAGCCTCCTACAAGACTGGTGCTGATCCAAAAGGTGACAAAAACTACAAGACGTCGAGACTAATTCCAAGTGAAGGGTTTTCTTTAAAGTGAAGAAGGGCTGAATTAGAGCTTTGTGAGATTAGAACCATTTTTTATCTAAAAAATAAGCTCAAAAGGCTCAAAACCCAAACAAAACAATGGATCATTTAGACATTTTTATGGAGTAAAACGTCTGATCTCCGACTAAAAAGACAGATTTCCCCAAATTGAACCGTGGACGTTCTGGAAGTGGACCAAGGTGGTTTTGGTCAGGACCAGGACTTGGTTTGGACCTCATCTGTCAGTGACGTCAGCGGAGGGACGTGGCTTCAGACATTTACAGCCCTGATGTTTATGCAGACACTTTTATCCAAAACAACAGTCGAACATATACATATGTATCTCCCCCTCAGTGGGAATTGAACCCACGACCTCCTACGTGACGGTCTGGGACACTCACCACTAAACTAAACCCTAACTGATTAACTCACATGGACTGAGTCCCCTTGAAGGAGTCCCTGATCCAGTCATGAGAGTCTATAAGTAAAGGAGAACCTCTTGGGGAAAGGCCCACGTCTGGTCAGGCCTTTTGAACCAACCCCTCTCTGATGGGGGGCTCCGCCGGTGGGTTAGGGTTAGGGTTAGGGTTAGGGTTAGGGTTAGGGTTAGGGGTTCCGAGCCTCTCTCTGGACTTTAGAGAAGGCCTTCCCGAAGCAACGAGCCCGACACTTTGAGCCGCCTGACCCGGAGAAACAGCTGGCGACGGTCGCCGGGACAACCGGCATTCCTTCGCTCGCAGTAATGAGCGAGGGAGGGATGAGGGGAGCGAGGGAGGGATGAAGGGAGGGAGAGAGGGTCCGTCTGCATCCACCGACACCTCTAACTCCTAATCCACGCCGTCAATATCTCATTCCCTCATTTTGGGGGTCATTTTCTGCCTCTTTACGCGACTGGGAATTGACCAAAAAACTCAGAATGCCTCTTTTAGAAGCAGGCAATGATCCAAAGAATGATACAAAACAAAGAAAAAGAGAGAAAACTGTACCGTCTGCATCCCCTCTCCTTCTAAACCTTAAACCACTGCTACCACTCCTCCTCCTCCTCTTCCTCCTCCTCCTCCTCCTCCTCCTCCTCCCCCCATGCCGATGTGGC